ACTATTGTAAGCTGCATATTGTGGTGATCTCACTGCATATAGTAGTGTAATGAACCGTAACAATGTGTCGCAACACACTGCACTATCAAACCACTGACACGTGACTTTCTTTCAACACTTTGATCTTGTGTAGACCAAGTACATGTAGTAACCATGGTAACTTGTAGTGGTAACCATGGTAACGTGTAGTGGTAACCATGGAACGTGTAGTGGTAACCATGGTAACGTGTAGTGGTAACCATGGTAACGTGTAGTGGTAACCATGGTAACGTGTAGTGGTAACCATGGTAACTTGTAGTGGTAACCATGGTAACGTGTAGTGGTAACCATGGTAACGTGTAGTGGTAACCATGGTAACGTGTAGTGGTAACCATGGTAACGTGTAGTGGTAACCATGGTAACGTGTAGTGGTAACCATGGTAACGTGTAGTGGTAACCATGGTAACGTGTAGTGGTAACCATGGTAACGTGTAGTGGTAACCAAGGTAACGTGTAGTGGTAACCATGGTAACGTGTAGTGGTAACCATGGTAACGTGTAGTGGTAACCATGGTAACGTGTAGTGGTAACCATGGTAACGTGTAGTACCTAGTGTATATTGTATACAGGTATATTTGTGTGTTATTCTTATCATGAAAAGTATTTATGAATATCTTATTTGAGTGCGTTGTTCGAGAGAAACTGAAATTGTCATAACATTTATGAACAACTTTTCTGAACAAATTTTCATTTCAATTCAAGTTAAAGTAACCCCAATTTCAAATCTTCCAATGATAATCATTACTGGAGAATCCAATGTAAATCGAACTCCCGATTTACCGGGGTTATTTCCTTTCCCCCGACAACCCCGCTAAATCGGGGGTTTTATACCATAACAGTAAGTGGTAACCATGGTAACCTATATAACAATAAGTGAGGCACCACGTACTCAGTAAGTCACGTGGTATCAATAACACATTGCACTGTTGTCAGCTGTAATATCAAATAAAGCAACATATTTGCAGTTCAGCCGGAGAACAATACTTCTTTTGTTAGTATTAATTGATTCTGTGTCAGTGGTTAGATAAAGAGAATATATTACAATGAAGCTTTATTACACTAGGATATACTGATGTGGAGTGGACTGTTGATAAAGGAATTTTTAACACAAATTTTTGTGATAAGATATATACTACGTGCACTGTACTACAAAGGTTTGTTATATTATTGTCATCTAAACTAAATAAGTAAACTGATATTTGAACACTATATAGCTATATACACTGTGCACTTTAATACGTGCACCACTACACGATATACACTGTACACTAATGTAAATGTGAACTCTGAGACCGAACAAAGATTACAATAATTTCATTTTACAGGTACTACCCGTATTAAATATAAACCTATTGTAATTCTCCTCAGGGTCTATATAGATAACTGTAAGAGATAACAAATGTGTAATATGGTGACAGTACTGATAACAACTAACTGGTGTAATCTGTAGCTGCTGATTAGTCTGTATTATTACTGTTACCTAGCAACGTAGCACGTGTATTATTACTGTTACCTAGCAACGTAGCACGTGTATTATTACTGTTACCTAGCAACGTAGCACGTGTATTTTATTGGCAGCTAAGTGTTGAGGGAGGAGACTGTCACGTGCTCTACAGCTCTGTTTTTAGTAACAGGTGTAGTGTGTAAAGTGATTGTAGTGCTCACTGACTGTGATGCCCGAATAAGGAGTGTATACTACACGTGATGCCCATATAAGGAGCTAGTTAAGATGCCCAATTTATTCGAGTCCCCTAAAACAGTCCACACTTGATATTTGCAACAATTAACACTGCATTAAAGTCTAATAATAAGTTAACTAAAACCATCAGAGCTACATTATTGCCAGTATCCACAAAATCAGTTAATATTCTCATCAACTCGGAGAAATAAAAATAAACAAACCTTTTCTCTGGAGGAGGTTTTGAAGAACTTGGACCGGAGCCAGCCGTCAGCACTGCGTCGTGCAGGAATGTAGAGAGAGGTGACATCGTTACTGCAGCACGGCGTGCCGCGCAGACACGACATTTTCTAGAATAAACAGTATTTAATTAAGTCACGCTTGTTAATGTTAAATTACTCTAAGATTTCATCTTAAGAAATGTGATAGAAACATTATATAAGTCACATCTGAGTGACTATCATAGACACATCTCTCACTTTTTCACTGTCACCAGTTTTCAATCATCTTACAAACGGACAAGTGACAGTAACAATAAAATAAAATAATAAATCCCACTCCACAGAAGTGTCACAGAGATGAGCCACGTGATTCCCATATAAGGAGTAGGATGAGTTGGCATCTTGATAAAGAAAGCTGACAGAAACTGATTACTGAAGTGTTTCGGGGCTCCACTCAAATGGTTTGCAGAGGTTACGTCTTCGTGTACAGTAAGCAAGATGGAAGGTATATCTTTGTGAAAACAAGTGTAGAGGTAATATTAGATACAATAGAACCACGTGATGCACATATAAGGAGTTACCTATACAATAGGTGAGAAAGTGTTTGAATAAGATCTACACAAGTACGTATATACACAAAACAATTATACTAACTCACAGCTTCACGATAAAGAAACTTATCATTGTGGAAGAACACAATAAAGACAGCACTAATAGCTTAACTGTAGTCAGTACTAGTAACCATGGTAACTGCAGTACTAGTATATAGTAGCTCTGTATACAGAAGATGATGTCATATTATCATGAGGACACAACAACTAACCATTATATTATCATGAGGACACAACAACTAACCATTAGCCAATAATTGTAGTAAACTTGTAGACCCATTATAAGGGACACAACAACTAAACATTAGCCAATAATTGTAGTAAACTTGGGACCCATTATAAGGGTTCGTGTATATTGTGACGTGTTTCCTACACAGGACTGTTCCGCATACTGAGACACAGGAGTCAGGACTGCATACTGAGCTGTGCCTTGTCTTCACGCTGCTGCATGTTAATATATTGCTTAGTGTGTTTTCTAGACTTTTCAACCTCTCTCACAGTATTATATATTACATGTAGACTGTAGTAACTGTATCCGTTAGATCACATTTGTTCTGTGTTAGCGATTAGTGGTCAGCCAACATAATGAGATCATACCCTTAAAGCTGCCTGTAATTAGTGGTAAACACAGCGACGCAGGTTCACACTCTGTCCAAATCTCATCGGGGAGATATCTGTTTTCTTACCCTGTTTACTTAATACTAAGGAGCTATGTGGCAAGTTTACACTTTACTCCTTGAACAAAACAAACACAGTGAATACTCTGTCAACATTCCTCAATTTTATCTTTAGTTTTGTCTCCTAAAATCGCATATCCTATTGGTTATAACTCTGTCCGATTGTCTTTTCATTTTTCTTGCTATGATTTGGGACAGAATCGTAACCAGCCATATTTTTACAATCATATGATAAAGTTGATTGTTTATTATATTTTGTTTTTCGCAAATTAGTTTTAATTTTTTCAAAATAATGTGAATAAAATTCTGTGTGGCTGAAATGTAACGCTTGATTCTCACATGTATAAAAATTAATCGGACTTTAAAATAAAAACATTTCTCAATAAAGTACCTACCGCAACTTCTTTTCTGAGACCCTCTGGTCTAGTCACACTTGTACTTGAAACGTAACAATGAACAATGAGCACGATTGCACAAGTGAAGTTATAAGGCCTTGCTGTCTGAGTACATGCTAATGACTGGACTGGATCTGCAGCAGTTTATACATATGATACTTGGCCCCCGGCCAAGTGAATCACAACACCTTCATAAATATTGTCATTATCACTACTAGATCTCGTAAGGCTGAGTTTCTATTGCTTTATTTTTGATCTAATTTTGGAATTAACGAGGTCCCTGGCACATAAATAGATATCAATACTGATTGAGTGGGGCCTAATACTATCATTATTACTTTAACGTCTTTATTATATCCAACGTCTGACAATAACTTAATAATGTAGCTTGATTAAATTACTGGATTTTTGATAGTTGTCATTTTCTGGCTCAGTTTCTTTACACCAGTTTTGGTTTGGATACCTCTGGTTCTGTAACCTGTCACTGCTTAATCACTGTTAATGAGATAAACTTATTGCACTCATATTCGTCGTATTTTTAATTTTGAGTAATTTTAAAATTCAGGGCGTATGATTAGCCCAGAATGTTAGATAATGATAATAAATCCATTGGTTTGTGCATATTACTATTAGTTCCCTGTTACTCAATACTATTTGCTGAATATTCGGTTAGAAGCACAGTATCCTGCTGCTTCACTCTTACCAGTTACCTGCATAACACCCCCTGTGTAAACAAGGAAGCTAGTAGTGTTTTTACAGCTGACGGTGGCTTGGTATTCTCCAATAGTGTTTTTACAGCTGACGGTGGCTTGGTATTCTCCAGTAGTGTTTTTACAGCTGACGGTGGCTTGGTATATTGGTGGCTTGGTATATTGGTTTTCTCATAAACCTTCTTAACCGCACTTCTTGTGAATGTTTTTATAGTAACTCAGTATTTTAAAATCTCCCTTTAGTGTTGGTGTGTTCCAATAGAATTATGATTTTCTATACCGAGCCCGGTTATGCGCTTTCCCAGGTGGTGCCCACTGCACAGTGTGCCCACTGTGTGATGGTGCCCACTGCACAGTGTGCCCACTGTGCAGTGGTTAGTTAATCACTTGAATAGACGAAGTGTGATATTTGGCATTGCTCATGAGTCTTGATATCGATTGTAATGATTTGCTCACATAAATTAACTTCACGACTATTTATTTGTTTATTAGGGTTATTATATATGACCTATGTGTAACCCGTGTTCACTTGATTAACTACTGGGTTTGCACCATGATCAAACAGGCTCAGCAATATAAAGTGATCATATAAGGAAATTCAATGCCTCTGATGACATTGATTGTTGAATTTGATTCCTGTTTTGTTTTCATTAACTTTTGTTTAATTTCCTTTGTAGGAGATAGAGTTACTTGAATATGGGCTGGAAAACAACATCCTTGTTGGTATGTCCTTTCAAACATGACATTACTTTAAGTCTTTTAAATAACGAAGACTTTCGATTGTATTTATTAACAAGAAAGCTCAATTTGAATTAACATACTCGTATACTACAGTACTATATAATTTACTATACTTCTTTTAAAATATGTGTTTCAGGTTCTAGTGGTTGTTGCTGTGTCCTCACAGTATGATCTAGAGAAAAGGAGCACTTTTGGAGGTGTGCCGATAGAAATGGAGGCAGTGGAAAGATGCCACCAGAGCAGGAGAAATGGCTTAAAAAAGTAAGTAACAAAACTAGTCTCAGAGGACAAGTTAAAATCAATAAATTGATGATTAGATCGTTTTATTTTTATATCTAATTAACTTCAGGTGCGATGAGTATTCAAACCTGTCCCTAAGAGCAATCAGAGAAGCAAGAGAAGTAAGAGAAACAAGACGCCAAAAGAGACAAGTACCTCAGGATGAAACAGTAAGATATTTAATAACAACACATATATTTCGTTACTGTACATTTTAATAACAAGCTAGTGGATTACACCGGCTACACACAAAATAATGTAATAATGTTCAGGGTGGAGATAGTGAAAAACCAAAACCTGATTGCAATTTGTATAAAGATACAGATTGGTATGCTATCTGCACAGAATGTGAAGCTGGAACTAAAACTGGAGAGGAATGCAAAACTCTTCCAAAGCCTGAGGATCTAATCGATTTCCCTGAAATTGACAAGACAAAGTGTTTAGATATCGAGTGGGGCACTGGTCGTGAGCACACTGCAGATGATAACTTTGGTGAGAAAATGAGATTCATTTCTCAATGATATATTAGCAGGTTTCTAATTACCGAGATCGGTTAAACAGGACCAGTGAAATATAATCTAAATTATAATTATTTTTAAAGTATTAGCATTTAGCAAACTTATATTTAATAATTTCAGGCAACTGCATCGAAACGAAAACTGATGATACCCACAGATACATAACCTCAAACAATGTCCCTGATTTCTATGTAAATTCTTACTGTCCTATCGGCCTTGGAAAGGGTTATTGTGTTCAACAGGAAATTGATGCTGGAACTTGCTACTTCACAGGTTTGTTTCTCACTAGGCATAATAAACATGGACCATAGAATAAGTAGTCTTTCAACAATGAGGGAACATGGACAATGTTAATACATAAATGTAGGTGCAGAGTACTCAGTTTTTCTGTATTCCATCAATTTGTCTCAATCTGTGCAGTTATCTTAACTTCTCATTGGCGATTACAATAATATTCTAAATAAAACTTTATTTCTGGAGATCAACAAAGTGCTATGTATTTCATAGTTATTTTGTTGGAATCCTAATAATGTTTACCCTAGGCCTAACCTGCGGAGCAAAGGACAATGGAGCAGGAACTAACGATTATGGTGATGTCTGGGTCCCACAAGAAGACAGTTACAAGATAAAACTTGAGGGAGACCCGACACTAGCTGATAGGCCAGGTGACATGTATGATGCAACTAAAGTAGGTGGTGCAAAAACAAATGGAGCAGCTCAAGGTGTAGCAATCAATGGTATTGCAATTCAAGGACCCAATGATGCAGGGGATGTCAGCATTGATGAGGCTGGCTTTCAATTGCCTTGTGGTGGTCATGTCACACCCCCAATGGGAAATAGTGAAACAACAGGTAAGGTTCCTGCAGGGCCCCCCAAATACCACTTCCACAAATCACCTGAGTGCTTGTCACCTTTCACAGATGCTTCCAAAGGTCTAGCTGCAGGTGGAGAACCCCTTAAGCATGGTAAGTTGATGGGATGGGCTATGGATGGATTTGGAATCTATACCTACCAAGATGTAGCAGGAGTAGCTCCAGTGGTAGATGAATGTGGCGGACATTTTGGCCCCACAGACACCGGTGAGGTCAAATATCATTACCACAGCAGAGCAATCGTTCCATATCACATGGCATGTCAAGGACCAGCATTAGGGCAGTGTGACGGAACACAGAGTGGTACAAACTACTGCCACCCTGGATGTGGAGCCCAAGTTTGTGTACAACCAGGAACAAGTGAAACGAAGCTGAAGGAATATATTGGCAAGTTCAACGATACATGGCTTGAAAAGTATACTACCAACCCCTACAATGGAGACTCTGCTTTGCACTTGGAAGCTATGACAGTGATTTTAGCTATTACTCTGAATTTAGTTGTGTAATCGAATTTAAAAGACGTTAACATGAAATAAAAAGTGGTCCTGTTTTTAATTTTTTATGATATTGTATCTACCTATATTATAAAATCATTATTAAGGGAAGGTTTGAGTCATGAATACCCAGTTGAAATGATATTAACCTTTTGTCATCGTATAGTTTTGAATTAGTTGTAGTCAGATCATATTTATTCTTACATTTATTAAAAAACAAATCGTGTATAATTCTTGACGGCCATGCCACAACTTTAATTTTAACGGGTGATACTCATAAAACATTTGTAGCGCGATGCACTACTGGGCCGCGCCGCGCATCTTCTCGCAACCACATATGCACCACGTTTGGAGGACTTCGCCGCTTCGACGCGCCGCGCGAACTAGCATTCTTGCTTCGCAACCCATCGTCGATAGTTGCTCTGCTTCGCAGAACAACGATCTCGATGGGTTGACATCATCAACCAAGCACCACGTATGCAGATCGGCAAAATGCGAAGGATTGACATCAATGAAACAAGAAATTTCAATGAAACAAGAAATCGTGAATCAAATAAAACATTTAAGTCAAATATCAGCAATAAGACCGTCGACGAGTCCAACTCAGCGCTCATTTTGATAAACTATAAACTTATAACTTTATTGTGGCTCCTGGATGTAATTTTTGGTTCAACCGTTAAATTGACGATGTCAATCCTTTACAGCTTGGAAAGCCCCAATGGTGCAATTAGCCAATCTAACGTGTAACGGTGGTTGCGAGAAGCAATATTGGATGCATGCAGCATGGCGCGGCCCAGTAACGCATTGCGGTACAATGAGCGCCACCCATGGTAATTGTGTATTTAATAAATTGATTAAGATTATTATGTTTGTATAAAAGTAAAACAAAATGCTTTTAATTAGATGAAAAGACAAAATTTGAAATAATTTGTTTTATGAATGACAATAATTTCAAAAATGCGCGGCGCTTTAAAAATTTAACTTTTTTAACTGACAAAATTACAAATCAAATACCATTTATAATTTAAACGTTCAATGAAACATTTTTTAACAAATTGACCGGTCCGACTCAGTGCTTGATGAATAGTAAAAAAATTTAAACAAGCAAATAGCATAGTTATTAACTCCGCCGCGCACTATTTACTATGTTTCCCTCCACGAACTTTCATTTCATTGCTTAACTTTTTATTTTCGATCGTTATTTATTCTATTGTAGGAACTGTTTTCAGGATTTCATTGCATCTTTGCAATATTACACATTAGTGGAAAATTTCTTCTGTTCGGTCGACTTAGTTGAATAATCGAAAAAATGTGTTCGAGGGTTGAATGAGGTTCCCTGTCAAAAAATTTAGTACCTCGTAAAGGTATTCTTCGGTACATCTTCATACATTGTAATAGTCTATGTAATAAGCGCCATGAGTTGGCACAGAATTTTTTGTCTCTGATTTTGATAAATTTGGTACCAAAAGTTGCCTCTAAGTGTGAATAATGCAAATTCACCGTGTAGCAAAATAACGTCGAGCTATATATATGTGGGCCTCCTGTGCATTACAAGAATGTACAAAGGACGAAAAATGGATAATTTATTGCTTAAAATGCCTATAACTCCTAAAATATTAAATATTTTGAAATAATTATTACAGTATCGTAATGAACTTAGTCAGACGCAACTTTTGGTACAAAAATTATAATATTTGAAGCACCAAATTTTTCAAAAATTTGTTCAAAATTTCACACAGTGTTCAGATTGAAAAATTTTGAAAATAATTTTTCTTTAAATCTTTAAAAATTAGTACTAAAAGTTTCGTCTCGATGAGCTGATTACGATGCCATAATAATTATGTGATAATAACTGAAAATGTGAAAGTTATAGGCCAAAAACTAAAAATTTGCGCGAAAAAAGCACGCGCGGCGAACAAGCGCCGTGTAGCATTTTTAGCGAAAATTGCTACACGGTGGATTTATTTTATTCACATTTTTAGACAACTTTTGGTACCAAATTTATCGAAATCGGAGGAAAAAAGTTCTGTGCTCGCGCTTGGCGCTTATTACACTGACTATAATGTGCTAGGGAGACGGAGCTTGGTGTGATAAAAAACTTTGTTCATATAGATAGTCTAGATTTAATCTTGGAACCATAAGGCCAAGGGTGATTTTCAAATGTTCTCCCAATATTGGAGATATGGAATATATTGAGTTTTTATATAGGGTCATTGTGACATTATGTTTATATTGTTTGAATAATTTTTATATACTGTAGTATGCTAGTAAAATGTAATATTATAAAGTAAAACAAATATTTTATTCTATACCCACAATTTCAAATTTGCAATTTAATTACACAGTAAGTAAGTTTAAATATTCATGGTCAATATTAACATTTCACAGTAGTGATTTTATAAGTACTGCAGCTGTAGTATTATACTATTTTCTATAGGAATGAAAAAAATGTGTTATTAGAGTAGAGTAGAGGGTTTCTACTCAGATTTTATTTTATAAGTATATTGCTGAGGATGTATAATCTTATTTTTTAATTTTTTTATTTCAAAATTATTATTTTTAAATTATTTTGCTTCTGAAATTTTGGCTCTAGTAATTAAGAAATGTGACATGTAATTGTAAGTTAACAATTAAATAGATCCTGTGCGCGGCGCCTACAGCTGACCTACGAATTTCTGAACAATTTTAAACTGTGGCTGTGTGCGCGGCGTACTGTATATGTGTTTGAAATTGAAATTTGAATTTATTTATGAATATAACATTATGTATTGATTATTTGTGGTAAATAAAAATTTTTCTTTCCTAAAAAATTTTTCTTTCCTAAAATTCAAATAAACTTTACATCAATGTATTACAGTTATATTCAATAAAAAAGGCCACAATATCTCCTGTGAAGCAAAAACATGGAAAAAGAGAGCTAGAAAAATATTCATGATACTCAACACTACCAGACTCAGCTGGAGTGAGAAACAATATGTAAAAACATCAAAGTAAAATTTATTTCGGCTGAACCAAAACACGGTGGTAAGACCATAATTACATTGGTGCTGACCCTACATAAAATCATTAATAAATAATCAAGAGAACAGATTTAAATGTATACGATACCTTCTTGCTACTACTCCACAAACTTACACGACATAACAACAAAATAACATAATTAAATAATATTATAATAAAACAATCTATAATCTAGCCACTCACGTACTGCGTGACGCGCTTGTTTTGGGTTGTTTCATAAAAGAAAAAACGGCGTGTTCTACTGCAGGTGCAAGGGGCAAATTATAGAGAGTATGACATTCATAAAGTAAAATATATATATAATATTCCATGATGGGCCGTCTAATCAGGCCAGCGTACGTCAGAAGACCAGAGAAATTCAGTTAGCTTTGTTTTGAAAATAGAAATTTTCTCAGTCTGTCTAACATAGGCTGGCAGTGCATTCCACAGAAGCATTGTTCTATAAAAGAAGCTGTTTCTGAAACTATCGCAGCTTGGTACAATAGAGCAGGTATATGTGCTGGTGTCAAGTCCTTCAATGACTGATGCCGTGCTCCTTGTGTACCTCATTGTTCCAGCTTCAACAACAGTAATATATTCAGGTAGAGATATACTTACCAAATCATTTACTATTTTATAGAAGAGCGTAATTGAATTATGGATGAACTTAGATCTAATGGGTAGAATTTTAAGCTCCTTCTGCTTCTCATAGAATACAATATCACTATAATGATCAAACTGTTGTCCATTGATCCATTTGATCGCTCTTTTCTGGATTGCCTCAAACTTCGACATGTGTGTCGATCGCTGAGGACACCATATAACTGAGCAATGTTCAAAGATTGATCTTACAATGGTAAGGTAGAAAGCCCTCTTTTGGCGTTTATCCATGGTAAAATGACAGGTTCTCTTTAAGAGCCCAAGCTTCGAGCTTGCTTTAGATATCAATTGATCACAATGTGCACCCCATAGAAACCTGTTGTTCATTATTACACCAAGATCTGTATGGGATGCCACATAATCAATTATGACTTCATTAAGATTATACCAATAAATATTAAAAGGAAGATTGTCTAATACATTTCTTTGCAGAGTTACAGATAACACCTTACACTTTGAAGGGTGAAAAGTCATTTTGTTATCGATTGACCAGGCAAACAACCTGTCTATATCTCCTTGGAGAATATAGTGGTCTTCAAAGCATTCGATGACCCTCCAAATTTTGGTGTCATCTGCATACAATGCTACATTTGTATCCTCCGAAACACACGAGAACATGTCGTTGATGAATAGAACAAACAGAAGTGGTCCCAGAATAGATCCCTGGGGCACTCCTGATTGCACGGGAAGCATGCTTGAGACAGCTCCGCCTACAACAACCTGCTGTCGTCTGTCTTGTAAATACGACTTTAAAAATCTAAGCATCAGACCATCAATACCATATAAATTTTTTAGCTTGCGAAGGATTAAGTCATGTGATACACTGTCAAATGCCTTAGCAAAATCAAAATAAACAATGTCGGATCTTGACTTATTGTTCAGGGCCAGTGCAAGGTTGTCTGTGAATGGGACCATCTGGGTAGTGCAAGACTTCCCATTCACAAAACCGTGTTGTCTACAGTCGATTAACCCTTCACAAGCTGCGAGCAACTCTTTCGAAATAGCTGAGAAAGACCATTACTGAAAATATCAGTGTATATTGTTTAAATTACTTTTAAAATTGTGATATCATCCCCTGTTCTAACTTATTATTAACTGTTTTGACTAAATTAAATTTGACCCTACAACAATATAATGTTGTAGGTTTGCTACTAAGTTTGCCTCACGAATATCTTTATTTAGATAAAATTCAATTATTAAGTTTGTGTTTACACAGGAATGGTTGATGGGTGGGTGGCTTTGCTCTTGTCTAAAGCAAGAAACACTTATTATAAATGGATTTTATTTGAAACTGTTACAACGGATTGGTGAAGGGTAAGTTTGGAACGTACTGCAAATTATCAATTATATTGCCAATTATGGCTGATACGGCACATGTTTTGTAACATACTGATGATATTTCTTAGACTGCTACATATTCAACGATGAGCACTATATTTTCATTGTTATAATTTTGTTGATTCTGTAAAATGTGCTAAAATGAAACTTCTTGTGTCGAATTACTTGTTTTATTGAGTAGATTTATGACAACAATTTTGTTTGATATAACTGAGGTTTCAGGGGATTTAGTTACATTCAGTTAGCTGAAGATCTCAAAACAAAACAATACTATGCCATCAAAAGACTACTGGCACAGGAAGACGATCAAGTGACTCTCATAAAAGATGAGGTGACTGAATATTTAAATATAAAAAAGTAAGATTGAACCAACTTTGAGCAACATAGAACTTTAGAACAAATGGACCACATGATCTGAATCAAAATATGATTATTGTTTTCTTTTGAAATTAACTGTTCTTGTGTTGCCCCAGGCCTATGTTAGTCAGCTGCAGACACTGCTCAAAATTAAAGCTATTCTGCAAGGTCTTGGTAAAAAAGACAATGGTATAAATAAATCAAATAAAGCTTTAAAACTAATTGATATTTCCTAGATAAAGTGTTACAAGTTGTTTGCATCGCCGCACATCATACCTCTCTTAGACTACAGTATTGTGAGACACAAGGATGTGACTGAGATCAACTTACTACTTCCATATTACAAGGTAAATACTGTTGGTAACTTACTACTTCCATATTACAAGGTAAATACTGTTGGTATATTTGGAATATGTTTCCAACTTACCAAACCTTACTACATATTCCGTACTCAAGGAATCGTGTTGTATTATAAGTAAGAAAGAATGTTTAAAAACATATTATATGTATATTGTATGATGCTATTAATGAATGTACGAAAGGAAGTTCGACTTTTAAACCTTCCACAGAGAGGATCCCTGCATGACCTGATGAGCAGAAGTAACCATGGTAACCATAGTAACTAATAGTAACCATAGTAACCATATAAACCTCCCTCAGAGAGGATCCCTGCATGACATGATAAGCAGAAGTAACCATGGTAACCATAAGGGTGGTGCCACCATAATTGTTGACCCTGATGTTTTGAGAAAGAGATCAGTTGACAAACTAAGCAACCCTTCCTTGTACAAAAAACTTGACTACGACCCTACTAAAGCCTTGCACAAAGAACTGGTCAACCTATGGATTGACGGAAAGACAAGAGGGTTGATTCCTGCAAAGACAGCTAAGAGTATCATGGGTATATCGAATGAACTCAAAGCTGACCAATCAGGACCAACAAACGCTCAAAGCACTTTACCGCATTTCAAACCAGGAAAGCCTTACTTCTACCCTTGCTTGAAAATTCACAAGCTTAAGAAAGATGATTTGAAACCTGGTGTTGAGCCACCCGCAAGGCTTATTACAGCACTCCAAGAGGGAGTTACAAGACGTTCAGATGTTTACCTTGCTGACACATTTTTACGCTCATTGGAACGTGAATTTTGTGGGGATCTACTTATCGACTCTGGAGATGCACTCAACTGGTTAGACGGCATCAACAGTTCATTTGATCACAATACTAAACGCCGGCTCAGAAGCTTTGCTTTTGACTACAAGGCATTATATGATTCTCTTAAACCCGATTTGGCAATGGAAGCCCTAACTGTTGCTATGACTGAATGTCGAACGGAATGGAGTGAGGAGTTCAAACAATGGATCCTTGCCCTCGTAGACCTCAGCTTCAGAGCTTCTATTGGCCAATTTGAAGGTGATTGGTACCAACAACTAGTCGGAATACCAACGGGAGGAAGCCTCTGTGTACAAATTGCGAATATAGCAGTTTACTACTACATGAGAAAAGTAGTATATTCTGATGAACACTTGATGAAAAACGTGTCAACAGTAAAGAGATACATAGACGATGGAGCGGGTTTTTTTGATGGAACAAAAAGACAGTTTTCAGAATTTATCTCTAATGTCAACTCGAGACTCAGTAGTGTAGGTCTTAATATAGATGAGTTCAGCATCGAAGACCCTGGAGGATTTACTTGTTTCCTCGACATACAATTTACATTTGACGTCGATGGAAACCTCCAGACTGACCTGTATGTAAAGGAAACTGATTCTAGGTCTTATCTATACTTTGGATCCACCCACCCTAACCATGTCTACAGCAGCATCATCTATTCCCAATGTCTCCGTCTCCGCCGTATCATCAATGACAATGATAGGTTAGCCCTAAGAATCGACGAGCTGAAAGAGTGCTTTTCGAACTCAAACTATCCGAAAAAGATGATCAACAACATCTCTTCGAAGGTGAAAACATTCGAACGCAGGCTCCCCACCTGCAGGGACACCTCGAACAGTTCTATATTGCTCCCTGTGTCCCCTGATAACACAATACGTGTTATCTCCACCTTCGGAGGTGACGCGGCACTGATAGACGTAATTGAAAAGTTTGAGTCCACCATAGAGACTTCTCCGAGTTTGTCGTCTACATCTAACACCGACACGACAAGTACAACGGAGACCTCCAACCAGGATAGAAACACCGGCAAAAGACTATTCAGTTATGTTAAAAGATCAGGCGCATCTTTGCGGAGGAGACTCCTCAACCCACAATTGCACGCAGAGGATAACACTGTAACAAAAACAGAACCTTGCCATCAAAGAAATTGTAAGTGTTGTGCAATGATAGGAAGTGAAAAGTGTTATTGTATTAATGGAGTCAAGATAAGACAAGCTCCAGGGACCTGTTCTAGCTACAACATAGTCTATATATTCATTTGTAAATTATGTCCATCTCCTTTCTGCTATGTTGGACGTACCATTAGGACTTTGCATGAAAGAGTAACCGAACATAGAGCTAACTATTATAAATTATTGAAAGACCCTTCCTTAAAACATAGTGATGATTTTTTATCTGATGATAGTGACACTTACAGTTTAGCAGCTCACCTAATAGACTCACATAACCTTTCCAATAGACCTGATTTTGATGCTTCTTATAATGTTTTTATCCTAAAGAATTCTAGTCCTAGTAATTTAGAAGTTAACGAACATCTACTTATACAAAAACTCAGAACTTTGAAACCATATGGTATTAATTCATGTGATCCTTTTGGTATGCCACTTTTATTTGAAAATAAAACTTTTGATAATGGTCCTTAAATTATTTCACCCTTAATGCAGGGACTAGTATATTTTTTCCGACTAGTTGGGGCCTCACAACCCCCCATACCCGAGTGCTTCCCATTCCATTTTTGAGAGTTTGGCTTCTTTTTACAGCTAACATCCTTAAGTTCAAATTAAAACTTTCTGATATAATTGGAGTATTAACCCTTATCTTTATTAGGTACTGAAGATGTCCGAAAATGTTTTACCAATGATGTTATAAAGATTTTGTTGGAATTTTTAAACTCATTCGTTGTCTGACTGTGGGAACTATTGATTCTTGAAGTAACCATGGTAACCATGGTAACCATAGTAACTAATAGTAACCATAGTAACCATATAAACCTCCCTCAGAGAGGATCCCTGCATGACATGATAAGCAGAAGTAACCATAGTAACCATGGTAACCATGGTAACTAATAGTAACCATAGTAATCATATAAACCTCCCTCAGAGAGGATCCCTGCATGACCTGATGAGCAGAAGTAACCATGGTAACCATGGTAACCATAGTAACTAATAGTAACCATAGTAACCATATAAACCTCCCTCAGAGAGGATCCCTGCATGACCTGATAAGCAGAAGATTGCAGCTCAACAGTCCCCTTCAAGAGAGAATGATATACGGACTGTTCCGCGGTATCTGCAGAGCATTGCATGTTATGCACAATTACCCTAGTGGTCCTCTGACTCATAGAGATGTTAAACCAGGTATTACTTAAAGTTCCACAGTTTTATTGTACATTAAAACCCAGATTTGCCACAGACTTTAGGAGAAAGGAAAAAGCTGTGTTAAATCGGGTTTTACTGTACTCGGAATTAGAATTACGGTACAACCCTGTTTACAACTTTAGAATCAGAACTAATTTTCTGACCGACAAGTCAAAATCATCTCAAATTTAGTGTTATAAAATAGTGTTTAAAATATAAAATCTTTTTATAATTAGGTTATACCACAGCTATACAGAGCATTTCAATATTTAATAAATGAGTCTTTTAAAGAGCATATCTGGTTTTATCCTCAGCTTCATTTAAGTAATAATAATATTCACAGGAAACGTACTGATAAGTAATAATAATATTCACAGGAAACGTACTGATAAGTGATGATGGTAATACTGTGCTTATGGATTTTGGATCAGTAATACAGGGACAGTGCAAAATATCTTCCCGTAAAGAAGCTATAGCCATGCAGGTACCCTCGTACTCCTTTATTAATACCTTCGTTTATAGAACATGAGGATTCAAGGGAGGGGAGGAGGTTAAATTGAAAGGAATTTACAGACTACATCAACTAATTAAATAGAATTGAAAACATAATAAATCATAAATATATCATGGTTACAAAACCTTTCTTCAGGACATTGCAGCAGAACGCAGCACTCTTCCTTACCGGGCACCTGAACTATTCGAGGTTCCCAGTGACTGCGTCATTGACGAGAAAGTGGACATTTGGGTACGTTACCATGGTTACTATGGTTACTATGGTTACTATTAGTTTCTGCACGAGAGACACTACTGACAAAATACGACACATTTTGTGTTAAGTTGCAAATAATCATAACTATTGTTACTTGAGTGAAAGCTTAGGTACAACTGGTACATGTGTACATATTGTTTTCTCCTTGATTGAGTCTCGATTGAGTCGCTAGGATGTGTTACCATAGTTACTATAACTTTATTTCAGTCGCTAGGATGTGTTACCAAAGTTACTATAACTTTATTTCAGTCGCTAGGGTGTGTGCTGTACGAGATGGTGTTCCTGCGGTCCCCCTTTGTGTGGACTAGTAGTGAACAGGGGGGCAGCATTGCACTGTGGCCGTGGGGGGGGGGGGGGTTGTCGAGTGTGGGTGGTATGAGCTAGTGGGGGGGGGGGGGGGGGGGGGGGGGGGGGGGGGTATCTGTTTTAACCGAAAGTAACCGGGGGGGATAGGGGAGCTTGTGTGTAAATTTCAGTGGGGGGGGGGGGGGGGGGTCCCCCGGGCTAGGGGTGTGGTGGGGGGTGTGGGGGCGGTGTTGGGGGGGGGGGGGACGAGATAGTGAGGGGGTGAGTCCTGGGGGGGGGGGGGGTGGGGGGGGGGGGGGGGGGGGGGGTGTTGATGGTGTAAATTGTCTCCTATGGCGTACGGGGGGGGGGGGGGCCGGGGGGTACAGCATTGTGGGGCATGGTGTTTGGACGGGGGGGGGGGTCGACGGGGTGCGAGGGATATAGGGGCCTGGGTGAGGGGCTGTCCGCATAGGCGCGGGTCGTGGGTCAGTACCATGGGCAGACCTGGCGGTCGCGGCGGAATGGGGGGGCCTGGAGCGAGGGGAGGGGGGGCATACCTTTACACGATGGGACCGGTCCACACGCCTACAAAGGGGGAGGGCCTAACCAGAATGCCCGGTACCCCAGAACAAGTCCGGAAAACTATGTTGTATGGGACGGTGGTACCGGTACAACACTACAACCACGCGAACCTTAAGCTTACCCCAACCAACCAATACCAACACCTATGCCACTTACGCGCATATAGAGTAGTCTACCTATAGTGACGAGAACCTGAAGCCCGGATAACCACTTCCTATTACACCCCGGGCCAACTACCCAACCAACGCCTAACGCAGTAATCCTGACCCCAACACCAAACACGACTCTTGCCACGATCTCCAACCACTCTAATCCAAAGTCCGGTAACCATATTCCTATCTCGTCATGGCCACTCGCCAACCTACGCGAACCAGATGCAGGACACACATCATCCATACTCCTCTTAGGGTACTAGTAGACTAGTGTCATAGAGTTCAATGTTGCAGGTAAACTTAAATCCTTTCTCTCAGGGACTAGTAGACTTCATAGAGTTCATGTTGCAGGTAAACTATTCCTTTCTCTCAGGGACTAGTAGACTTCATAGAGTTCATGTTGCAGGTAAACTATTCCTTTCTCTCAGGGACTAGTAGACTTCATAGAGTTCATGTTGCAGGTAAACTATTCCTTTCTCTCAGGGACTAGTAGACTTCATAGAGTTCATGTTGCAGGTAAACTTATTCCTTTCTCTCAGGGACTAGTAGACTTCATAGAGTTCATGTTGCAGGTAAACTATTCCTTTCTCTCAGGGACTAGTAGACTTCATAGAGTTCATGTTGCAGGTAAACTATTCCTTTCTCTCAGGGACTAGTAGACTTCATAGAGTTCATGTTGCAGGTAAACTTATTCCTTTCTCTCAGGGACTAGTAGACTTCATAGAGTTCATGTTGCAGGTAAACTTATTCCTTTCTCTCAGGGACTAGTAGACTTCATAGAGTTCATGTTGCAGGTAAACTATTCCTTTCTCTCAGGGACTAGTAGACTTCATAGAGTTCATGTTGCAGGTAAACTTATTCCTTTCTCTCAGGGACTAGTAGACTTCATAGAGTTCATGTTGCAGGTAAACTATTCCTTTCTCTCAGGGACTAGTAGACTTCATAGAGTTCATGTTGCAGGTAAACTATTCCTTTCTCTCAGGGACTAGTAGACTTCATAGAGTTCATGTTGCAGGTAAACTTATTCCTTTCTCTCAGGGACTAGTAGACTTCATAGAGTTCATGTTGCAGGTAAACTATTCCTTTCTCTCAGGGACTAGTAGACTTCATAGAGTTCATGTTGCAGGTAAACTATTCCTTTCTCTCAGGGACTAGTAGACTTCATAGAGTTCATGTTGCAGGTAAACTTATTCCTTTCTCTCAGGGACTAGTAGACTTCATAGAGTTCATGTTGCAGGTAAACTTATTCCTTTCTCTCAGGGACTAGTAGACTTCATAGAGTTCATGTTGCAGGTAAACTTATTCCTTTCTCTCAGGGACTAGTAGACTTCATAGAGTTCATGTTGCAGGTAAACTTATTCCTTTCTCTCAGGGACTAGTAGACTTCATAGAGTTCATGTTGCAGGTAAACTATTCCTTTCTCTCAGGGACTAGTAGACTTCATAGAGTTCATGTTGCAGGTAAACTTATTCCTTTCTCTCAGGGACTAGTAGACTTCATAGAGTTCATGTTGCAGGTAAACTATTCCTTTCTCTCAGGGACTAGTAGACTTCATAGAGTTCATGTTGCAGGTAAACTTATTCCTTTCTCTCAGGGACTAGTAGACTTCATAGAGTTCATGTTGCAGGTAAACTATTCCTTTCTCTCAGGGACTAGTAGACTTCATAGAGTTCATGTTGCAGGTAAACTTATTCCTTTCTCTCAGGGACTAGTAGACTTCATAGAGTTCATGTTGCAGGTAAACTATTCCTTTCTCTCAGGGACTAGTAGACTTCATAGAGTTCATGTTGCAGGTAAACTATTCCTTTCTCTCAGGGACTAGTAGACTTCATAGAGTTCATGTTGCAGGTAAACTATTCCTTTCTCTCAGGGACTAGTAGACTTCATAGAGTTCATGTTGCAGGTAAACTATTCCTTTCTCTCAGGGACTAGTAGACTTCATAGAGTTCATGTTGCAGGTAAACTATTCCTTTCTCTCAGGGACTAGTAGACTTCATAGAGTTCATGTTGCAGGTAAACTATTCCTTTCTCTCAGGGACTAGTAGACTTCATAGAGTTCATGTTGCAGGTAAACTTATTCCTTTCTCTCAGGGACTAGTAGACTTCATAGAGTTCATGTTGCAGGTAAACTATTCCTTTCTCTCAGGGACTAGTAGACTTCATAGAGTTCATGTTGCAGGTAAACTTATTCCTTTCTCTCAGGGACTAGTAGACTTCATAGAGTTCATGTTGCAGGTAAACTATTCCTTTCTCTCAGGGACTAGTAGACTTCATAGAGTTCATGTTGCAGGTAAACTTATTCCTTTCTCTCAGGGACTAGTAGACTTCATAGAGTTCATGTTGCAGGTAAACTATTCCTTTCTCTCAGGGACTAGTAGACTTCATAGAGTTCATGTTGCAGGTAAACTTATTCCTTTCTCTCAGGGACTAGTAGACTTCATAGAGTTCATGTTGCAGGTAAACTTATTCCTTTCTCTCAGGGACTAGTAGACTTCATAGAGTTCATGTTGCAGGTAAACTTATTCCTTTCTCTCAGGGACTAGTAGACTTCATAGAGTTCATGTTGCAGGTAAACTTATTCCTTTCTCTCAGGGACTAGTAGACTTCATAGAGTTCATGTTGCAGGTAAACTTATTCCTTTCTCTCAGGGACTAGTAGACTTCATAGAGTTCATGTTGCAGGTAAACTATTCCTTTCTCTCAGGGACTAGTAGACTTCATAGAGTTCATGTTGCAGGTAAACTATTCCTTTCTCTCAGGGACTAGTAGACTTCATAGAGTTCATGTTGCAGGTAAACTTATTCCTTTCTCTCAGGGACTAGTAGACTTCATAGAGTTCATGTTGCAGGTAAACTTATTCCTTTCTCTCAGGGACTAGTAGACTTCATAGAGTTCATGTTGCAGGTAAACTTATTCCTTTCTCTCAGGGACTAGTAGACTTCATAGAGTTCATGTTGCAGGTAAACTTATTCCTTTCTCTCAGGGACTAGTAGACTTCATAGAGTTCATGTTGCAGGTAAACTTATTCCTTTCTCTCAGGGACTAGTAGACTTCATAGAGTTCATGTTGCAGGTAAACTTATTCCTTTCTCTCAGGGACTAGTAGACTTCATAGAGTTCATGTTGCAGGTAAACTTATTCCTTTCTCTCAGGGACTAGTAGACTTCATAGAGTTCATGTTGCAGGTAAACTATTCCTTTCTCTCAGGGACTAGTAGACTTCATAGAGTTCATGTTGCAGGTAAACTTATTCCTTTCTCTCAGGGACTAGTAGACTTCATAGAGTTCATGTTGCAGGTAAACTTATTCCTTTCTCTCAGGGACTAGTAGACTTCATAGAGTTCATGTTGCAGGTAAACTATTCCTTTCTCTCAGGGACTAGTAGACTTCATAGAGTTCATGTTGCAGGTAAACTTATTCCTTTCTCTCAGGGACTAGTAGACTTCATAGAGTTCATGTTGCAGGTAAACTTATTCCTTTCTCTCAGGGACTAGTAGACTTCATAGAGTTCATGTTGCAGGTAAACTTATTCCTTTCTCTCAGGGACTAGTAGACTTCATAGAGTTCATGTTGCAGGTAAACTTATTCCTTTCTCTCAGGGACTAGTAGACTTCATAGAGTTCATGTTGCAGGTAAACTATTCCTTTCTCTCAGGGACTAGTAGACTTCATAGAGTTCATGTTGCAGGTAAACTTATTCCTTTCTCTCAGGGACTAGTAGACTTCATAGAGTTCATGTTGCAGGTAAACTATTCCTTTCTCTCAGGGACTAGTAGACTTCATAGAGTTCATGTTGCAGGTAAACTTATTCCTTTCTCTCAGGGACTAGTAGACTTCATAGAGTTCATGTTGCAGGTAAACTTATTCCTTTCTCTCAGGGACTAGTAGACTTCATAGAGTTCATGTTGCAGGTAAACTATTCCTTTCTCTCAGGGACTAGTAGACTTCATAGAGTTCATGTTGCAGGTAAACTATTCCTTTCTCTCAGGGACTAGTAGACTTCATAGAGTTCATGTTGCAGGTAAACTATTCCTTTCTCTCAGGGACTAGTAGACTTCATAGAGTTCATGTTGCAGGTAAACTTATTCCTTTCTCTCAGGGACTAGTAGACTTCATAGAGTTCATGTTGCAGGTAAACTATTCCTTTCTCTCAGGGACTAGTAGACTTCATAGAGTTCATGTTGCAGGTAAACTATTCCTTTCTCTCAGGGACTAGTAGACTTCATAGAGTTCATGTTGCAGGTAAACTTATTCCTTTCTCTCAGGGACTAGTAGACTTCATAGAGTTCATGTTGCAGGTAAACTATTCCTTTCTCTCAGGGA